GGGGGGGGGGGGGGGGGGATGGGGGATCGTGTTGTGATGGATGATTTTGTTCGGATCAGTTGAAACTTGAAACTTTTGCATCCAGACTGTTCGAAATAGTCAACATGTAGGTAGGTGATATTTGCAACAACCGTAACTACAACCATGTGTAGCAAAGTTAGGAATGAAAATAATGCTATTTGGGATTGTCAAATATATAGTTTATCAAATTCTAACAAAAGGCAGGTACGTTGCGTAGTTAACCACTTCAACCACTAAACCCCAACAGACCCATAGACCAGGTGATATATGACCTACCCAGTACCCACTTAACCTTGTCTTATGTCTTGGTCGTATCTGGTGTCGTCCCCCTTTAAGAGTCACTGTTTCCTCCAAGATTCTCTCTCTCTCTCTCTCTCTCTCTCTCCATCAGTGAATGTGAATCAGAGAGAATCATATGTGAATCAGTGAGAATCATATGTGAATCATAATTGTCGCCAAGAATTTGGGAAAATCCCAGGTGGTTCTGCCCTCAAATAGTTCTGTCTACACTTTTTACTGGGCTTAGTTGGAGTTTCTTATGGCTAAGGATTTGCACAAGAGAGAAACTTTGCTTCCGTCAAAGTTGCTTACCTACAAGGATGTTCTCTGCCAGAACAAAAATATAAGTCACCATGTCTCAAGATCTGAATCTTCTTTGAGTGGCTTTGGGTCATGGGAAACATCTTCTTCGGGTTTGAGTACGCCTCTTGGGTCGGAGCTTGGCTCAGCAACTGATCAGACAGAGAGTGATGAGGACAATTTCATAGCTGAGTTGACTCGTCAGATGGCTGACTACATGCTTCAAGAAGAAGACGAAGATGATGATGATAATAAGAACGCCACACCAAATTTTGTCTTCGAGAAGTCTAAGGTATTAGCTAATAATTATCATGCTCTTTCGAAGTACATGAATGAAAATTTTGAACTCCAAACGTATATTTATGGGTTGTACTAATTAGTTGCTTCTTGTTACCTTTTCAAAATCGGTTGCTCTATCTGTTAAGTAGTCTGATTGCAACTCGCCCTCCGAACACCAAGAAGATCAATCAGTAACGCCCACTCCAATCCCTGCGCATGTACAAAAGCTTAGTACTGGGTTTTACTATAACCCAGCTTTGGCTGACGATCAGACAATACCCAAAGAAGTAAGTATATTTTGGCTTCAATAATCAAACACTAAAAACCTCGTCTCTCTGAATTTTTCACTGATGATCTTATTTTCCTTGGAAACTTTTGCAGGTTTATCAGCTGGAAAATCAGCCGTTTGTGGAACACCAAGGTTCTCTTTGTTGGGGAAGACGAACCAAGATAACAGAATCAAGTCAGCAACTTGGGTCTGAACAACATCTGCAGCATAAAGAACACCATCACCATAAGCAAAACAAAGGGCTTTGCCATGGTGGAAGGGTTCGTTCTTTTGGTTCATTACAAGTTGGGTCGGGTATGACCGCTATTTTCCTTGGAGGACCCGGCTTCAAAAGTGGGTCCTGTGGGACCGGCGTTTTCCTGCCACGTGTAACCAATAATGCAACTAATCTGCCCCGAAAAAAATCAGGTTGCTATTTTATTCTCTCTCTATACATGCATATATTATAATTTATACCAACTGTGCTGAAACTGTGCAATTTGCTAATAATATCTTGTCCAAAATTATGTGTGGTCTTACTAGGAGATCTACTTGCGTCATGTCTTAGTGCAAGGATTAAATGCTCATGTTATTAACCAAAAAGTAGATTTAAACTATTGAAAATAATCATCTTTCACAACACCAAGAATCAAATTAGATACGAGAAAGAAAGTAGAGAATATTTTAATACTGATTCCCTGAGTTGTCGTTTGATTGGTGTAGACTTGAAAGTACATTCTAGTGTGTACTATGAACAAACTCTTTGGAGTCTGCAAAATATTATACCTACCAATATTTTTTACAGATTATTGGATTAACGTGTTGTATAATCTTCCATTAATTATCCAATAGCAATGCTTATGCCACAAAATTGGAAAGAATAATATTAGTGTCCTGCATTACATGTGATCTGATTGTGACATGGAACTCTTTTGGCACTTTGTTGAGATTCTTTGTATCGAGATACTTTCCATTATATTTTTTTTAATTTTATTTAGTAATAAATTATTCACCAGGAGAGATCTACTACTAAGGAAACTAATAATAGTAAACCTCTACGGTTTAATGAATCTGAATCAAGAAAACCTTAGGTTGGAATCTTCCACTTGGACCACTTATATGCGTGAGTACAATTCGTCGGCAATTGATAATGACAGGAATTAGAAAGCCGGGGATTAGTTTCTTTCTCGGGTTTTGATGTGACACAGGTATTTTTAACACCATTTGATTTTTGTGGTCAGGTTGTCCAACTGTTCTCATACCTGCTAGGGTATTACAGGCTCTACAATGCCATTTCAACAATATGGATGCTATGGCACCATCCAAAAACTGTAGCGGTCCTGACCATTCCCCATCGCAACATGGTACTTTTTTTCCCAATGTTTCACATATTCTTCTATTATTACTCTCTTTTCATGTCCTATATTATTAGGGTGTAATACCATAGATTAGAATTTGTTAGACTTATACAGATGTCATTTGTTCATTGGTTGTACAGAGTAACAGATTGTAATTTTTCTTCCTTGATATTTATATTAGTTTTCTCCTATTTTGTAACAGTTCGATGAATGAATGAAAATCATTTTCTTCTTCTCTCTTCTTCTTGTTTCTTCTTCTTCTCGAGCTTAATATGGTATCAGAGCAGATTTGATCCGCTGCAAATTTGCTTGTTTTCTTCTTCCTTCGTTGATTGTTCTTGTTCTCTTCGATATGGCAACTCTTCCCTCGATGAGTGATTCCAATTCTGGAGAGCGTACCATTTCGAATCATTCCGCCATTGAAGAACCTTCAAATCCTTACTATCTTCATCATTCTGATAGTCCTGGGCAAGTGCTCGTCTCGCAGCTGCTCATTGGTGAGAATTATACTAATTAGAGTCACGCGATGTTAATTGCCCTATCAGTGAAGAACAAATTGAGATTTGTTGATGGTTCCATTCCTGAGCCACAAGGTACTGATGATAATCTGTTCAACTCCTGGATTCGCAATAATAATATTGTTATATCTTGGATCTTGAAATCGGTTTCAAGGGAAATTTCTGCCAGTATTATTTTTGCTACTTCTGCACGTGAGATTTGGCTAGATCTTAGGGATCGTTTTCAGCAGAGGAACGAACCTAGAATTTTTCAGCTTAAACGTGAATTGATGAATTTGCGTTAAGAACAGACATCTGTTAGCATTTACTTCACAAAGCTGAAAACTATATGGAAAGAACTGAGTAATTACCGGCCTAATTGTTCTTGTGGTGGAGTTAAAAATCTTAACAATCATCATCAAATGAAGTAAATAATGTCCTTCTTAATGGAACTTAATGATTCTTTCTCTCAAGTTCGTGGTAAGTTGTTTCTCATGGATCTGATGCCTTCCATTAATCGTGTTTTCTCTCTGATTGTTCAAGAGGAACAACAAAGGAGGACTAATTCTTCCTCTGATTCGAGCAATTCTACTGGCACACTGGCCTTTGCTGTGAAAACAGATGTTGCTAAATTTGGTGGATCTGATTCTCAAAATTCTCAAAATTTCACTTTCAGTGCTTCTAAGAATCAGAAAAGAGATAAACCTTATTGCACACATTGCAAGATTCTTGGACATACTATGGATCGTTGCTACAAGATCCATGGATATCTTTCTGGATATAAATTTAGATCTAACAACAATTCTATTGCTGCTGCTCGTCAAGTTTTTACTTTTGATGATAGAACAAATCGATCTAATTCGTTTGGAGGTTTTGTTTAGAATTTGAACTCCAATCAATATCAACAACTAACGTCCATGCTTTCTACACATTTGAGTAACGCAGCAAAGGTCACCAATACTCTTGATCCTTCTCAAACCAACTGCCTCGCAGGTATTTGCTTCTTTGTGTTTTTGAGTCCTCCAATTTCATCCAATCAGTTTTGGATTGTAGACCCAGGAGCTACTCGACATATTTGTTCACAAGCCAATGCCTTTGTTTCTTTGTATTCTATTCATCACACAACAGTTACCTTGCCAAATCATTCTCAGATTTTGGTCCATTTTGCTGGTGATGTTAAACTGAATTTTGACCTTGTGCTTAAAGATGTATTGTTTGTCCCTCAATTCAAATTCAACTTGATCTCAGTTAGTGTTTTAGTTATTGGGTCTGGCCTTACAGTGTGTTTCCTTCCTGACTACTTTGTTATCCAGGATCTTTCAACCAAGAGGATGATTGGCAGGGGTGACAAAGTCCAAGATCTCTATGTTCTTAATGTTCAGTGTTTGAATTCTATTTCTAATGCTTTTGTCAATAATGTTTCTGCTCAAATTTGGCATAATAGGCAAGGACACATTTCCTTTAAGAGACTTGATTCTTTGAAATATCAGTTGAAATGTGATGTAACTAGATTACATAAGTCGGATCCTTGTTATATTTGTCCTCTTGCTAAGCAAAGAAGGCTGTCCTTTGAAACTAATAATCATTTGTCCAAATCTCCTTTTGATCTTGTGCACTGTGATATTTGGGGGTCATATCAAACTGTTTCTTATACTGGTCATCGATTTTTCTTGACTCTTGTTGATTATTGCACTCGTTTTACTTGGGTTTATTTGTTGAGGAATAAATCTGATGTTGTCTCTGTGGTATCGAAGTTTTTCAGCATGGTTTCAACTCAGTTTAATGCCAAAATATCAAGATGTTTCGATCTGATAATGCACATGAGTTATCTTTTGCTGAGTTTTTCCAAAATAAGGGAGTTTTGCATCAGTTTTCATGTGTTGATAGGCCCCAACAAAACTCAATTGTGGAGCGAAAACATCAACACCTCTTGAATGTGGCTCGGTCATTGTTTTTTCAACCCAGGATTCAAGTTTCTTTTTGGACAGATTGTGTTCTTACTGTGATTTTCTTGATTAACAGAACTCCTTCTCCACTTTTGAGGCACAACACACATTTTCATTTGTTATACAAAACAACCCCTGATTACACTCATTTTCGAGTTTTTGGCTGTTTAGCATTTGTTTCCACGTTAGCTACTCATCGAACCAAGTTCCAACCTCGTACTCGAGTTTGTGTTTTCCTTGGTTATCCAACTAGTGTGAAAGGTTATAAATTCTATGATGTGGAGACCAAACAAGTTTTTCTTTCACGAGATGCAATGTTTCATGAGGATGTGTTTCCTTTTCGTGCTATTACTAGTTCAGATCAAGTTATTGATCCATTTCCAGATTTGGTTCTGCCACATTCTTCATTACAAGCTCATTTTATTTCAGATTTTGCTTCTTTACATGTTCATGATTCACTTGTTATTTCTAATGTTCCAGCTGATCTTCCCATTGATTGTCCTGATACTAATTTTCCCATTGTTTCTTCATCGGGTCCAATTGTTTCTCCCTTTGGTGTTGTTTCTATTCAGCAGCTCCTACTCCAATAGATGATATTCCAGCAATTGTTCCTTCTACATCTGGTGATGTTGTTCTTCAAAAATCTACCAGAGTAATTCATCCACCTAATTACTTGAAAGATTATCACTGCAATTTACTTACTGGCTCTCCTACTCATATTTGAACTTCCACGTCTTATCTAATCTCTAATTACATATCTTGTCATGGTCTTTCTAATTCACACAAACAGTTTGTGCTCAGTGTATCCTCTCAGGTTGAGCCTCAATACTATCACCAAGCAGCGAAGTTTCCTAAATGGATATTGGCTATGCATGAAGAGTTGAAAGCTATGGAAGTAAACAACACCTGGACAGTCACTTCTCTTCCTCCTGACAAGCATACCATTGGCTGCAAATGGATTTACAAGATCAAGCTTAAATCGGATGGATCTATTGAGCGACATAAGGCTCGTTTGGTAGCCAAAGGCTATACACAACAAGAAGGTTTGAACTTTGTTGAAACTTTTTCTCCAATGGCAAAATTAGTGACTATGAAGGTTCTTCTTACCCTTGCTGCCTCACATAATTGGCATTTAACTCAACTTGATGTCAACAACGCTTTTTTAAGTGGTGATCTTTTTGAGGACATCTATATGGATCTCCCTCTCGGCTATCTTCGACAGGGGGAGTCCTCTCCATCTCCAAGCAAACTAGTGTGCAAGCTTCACAAGTCCATTTATGGTCTCAAGCAAGCTTTGAGACAATGGTATTCAAAATTTTCTCAAGCTTTGCTCAAGTTTGGCTCTCTGCAGTCAAAATTTGATTACTCTCTCTTCACAAAAGGTCATGGATCCTCTTTTGTTGCTCTTCTAGTTTATGTGGATGATATCATCCTTACTAGTCCTTCACCTCAAGCTATTGATGGGCTCAAACAATTTCTGCATACACAGTTTAAGCTCAAGGATCTTGGTTGTCTCAAGTACTTCATTGGTCTTGAGATTGCTCAATCCAAGCAAGGTATTGTNGAGCTATTGATGAGCTCAAACAGTTTCTGCATACACAGTTTAAGCTCAAGGATCTTGGTTGTCTCAAGTACTTCATTGGTCTTGAGATTGCTCAGTCCAAGCAAGGTATTGTGCTTTCTCAACGTCATTACACCTTACAATTACTTGAGGACGCTGGATACTTGGCTTGTAAGCCCACTGTTGTTCCAATGGATCCAAAACTTTGTTTAACTACCACTGAAGGTGAACTGCTTCTTGATATAACCAACTATCGGCGGCTTGTTGGGAAACTTCTTTATCTTACTTTATCTCGCCTAGATATTACTTTTGCAGTTCACAAGCTCACTTCATTCTTGGCTCAACCTCGACTACCTCATCTCAAGGCAGTGCATCACCTGCTTCATTATCTCAAGCAAAGTCCTGGTCAAGGATTGCTGTTTTCTTCTACTTCTTCTTTGCAGCCGAGAGCCTTCTCTGATGCTGATTGGGGATCATGTCTTGATTCTCGACGCTCTACTACAGGTTTTTGCATCTTTATTGGCGACTCTTTAGTCTCTTGGAAGGCCAAAAAGCAGACCACCGTCTCTCGATTCTCAGCTGAAGCTGAATATAGAGCTCTTTCTTCTACTGCCAGTGAGCTCATTTGGTTGCATCACCTTCTTAATGACTTTCAAGTCAAGGTTGATTCTCCTGCTTTGCTATATTGTGACAATCAAGCTGCAATACATATTGCCTCTAATCCAATCTTTCATGAACGAACTAAGCATACCGAGATAGATTGCCATTTTGTTCGTGACAGAGTTACTTCGGGAGTTCTCAAATTTCTGCCCATTAGATCTCAATACCAATTGGCTGACATGTTTACTAAACCTCCCCCATCTCCTCAACTTTTTTCTTTGCTGTCCAAGATGGCTGTAAAGGACATTTACAAGCCACCTTGAGGGGGAGTATTAGGGTGTAATATTGTAGATTAGAGTTTGTTAGACTTGTACAGATGTCATTTGTTCATTGGTTGTATAGAGTAACAGATTGTAATTTTTCTTTCTTGCTATTTATATTAGTTTTCTCCTCTTTTGTAATAGTTCGATGAATGAATGAAAATCATTTCCTTCTTCTCTCTTCTTCTTGTTTCTTCTTCTTCTCGAGCTTAATATATATCGAGATTATAATATTTCTTCACTCATAAATATTTTAGTTGAGTATGTAATACAAGAGACGTGATAATTAAGCAGACAATGCAAGACAGAAAATATAATTGAGAGGGTCACAAGTATAATATGTCAAAAGGTTAGGGTCGATGTTCATAGATGAGCTATAAGTATAGAGGATGTTTGTAAGTTTACTTGGGTTTTCTTGTTTCAGCTTGTGAAGAGGCAATGGGTCGAACAGGTGGTGTGCATACTCAACGAAAGCGTCAAACTCAGCCCGAAAAGCAGTCGGCACCGAACCATCAGGAGATGCAACTCCCTCCAGAATGGACGTACTGATCTCCACCGCGCAGTCCTGTCTTTTCGTCTCTCTTACCACGCATCAGTAGTGTTATTGTCGCGGGCCCGCCCTGCTGTGAATATGTACAGAACAATTGAATGGAGGAAGAATAAAGACAAGTAAAGAATCGGAATTTTCCTCGTCAATGGCGGAATCTTTGGAAAAGCATAAAGAAATAATAAGTGGTGAGGCTGAAAATGATGGGGTGGCTTTTCTTTATTTTAATTCCAAATAAACAACTGATGTTGCTTGATTGAGACGGTCAAATTGGCTGTCTTTCAGTAAGCTATTATGATTGGAGGGATGTTTCTTGAACCTCTGAAATAATGTAATGGTCACAGTTCTCAGCGTAGGCTTTGGGTTCAAATTTCACCGTCTCATCCCGAACAATGTTTGATCAGAAAGAAAAAAACTAGGCAGTTTTTATGCCCTGCATTTTGGATAGCATATATTGCTATTTTGTATATTCTCTCTCGTGGTTTAAATAAAAAAAGAGTTATAATTTAAATTTAATTTGTTTATAAACCAAACTAAATCAAACCAAATCAAGTTTTATATCCTAATCAATCGAGGTCAGCTATATGAATCTGTTTAATTATTCACTTTAATCGTGCATTAGTCGCTCATTTAAATTAAATATTTTTATATATTTTTTTATTATTTCATTCAATGTTAATTTAAATATACTTTTATTTCTAGTACCATTAAGAGAAATTCTCTCACTTTTTTTATCTGATGTCTTTAACGGCCTCTGTTAAATATGATCAAAATGATCTTAATTTTTTCTCTCTTAACTTATCTTCAATTAGAGTTATTCTTATCATTTCTCTAATATGGTCATTTCGTATTCTATTATTTTTAATTTTTCCACGCATCCGCCTTAGCATTTTCATTTCCTCTATATTTATTTTGTCACTATATTGTTTCTTAATTGTCCAATATTCTGTCTTATACAACATTGTTGTCCTTATAATTATTTTGATAAAACTTACTTTTTAATTTTATTAGTATCCTTGTATCACATAATATGCCGAGGCTTTCCTCCACTTAAGTCAACCGGCGTTAATTCTATGAGTTACATCATCTCTGATCTCTCAACATTGTTATGATGTTTAAATTATTTACTCATTCGTATTTTTTTATTTTCAATCTTAACTTTTTACTATGTATACTTCTTCTATTACTAAAATTGCATTGCATATATTCAGTTTTACTTCTACTTTCTTTAAACCTTTTCAATTCGAGTGTCTTTTTTCAATTGTTTAGTTTATTGTTAATCTCCCTTTGAATTTCATCTATTAATACAATATCATCTAAAATTAATTTATTGAAAATCATTCATAATCATTACATTTAAAGTGAGACAAGTATTTGGGGAGACTTGCTATCAGTCCAATATTTATGATGGTAAGTTAAAAAATTGAAAGATGTTATATAGATTTAAAAATTTGACATAATTTGTTGATATAATGATGTGGTTTCAGTAGAATCATTAAATCAATATCAAGTTTCAATGTTTAATGAAGTTCATAATCAATCCAAAGGTCATAGTGTGTTATGTCAGCAAATTAGGTCAGTAAATTAGGTTCTAATAATATTGCTTTAATAAATTATTTTAATAGATAAAATATAAAAAATATTATTAAAATAAAAAATAATTTTTGGGGACCAAACATTACTACCTAAAAAAAAAATGCAAAAACTGTCTATTACTCTAATATGAAGGAACACAAGTCAAACTTTGCACACAGCCAAGTCAACAAGTCTGTGAGATTTTTAATGTCTCATTCATGTTTCGCAATTCATATATTGTGAGAAGAAAAATTACTTTCTCTTTTTCATTTAATATAATATATGAAAAGTTGAAAACATTAATTTTTTATTGTTTGATATTAGAGAAAAAATAAAAAGAAAGAAAAGATATATATACTTAGTTTATTATTATATGCTTACACATAAAAAATAAATTTTTATTACATATAAATATTTATAGATTTAAAAATGTTTAATGTCTCTTTAATTAGCAGTAAAAATAAATAAATAAATATACTAAAAATAATAGCAAAAAGATATGCATATGAAAAGTATATATGCATGATAGAATTTTTAGAAGTGTTTTTCTTGAGAAATGAGAAGATTTTGAATTGAAATAGTGACATAATATTTAAAAGTATATCTAAGAATATAAAAGTCCGAATATTTGTTCGTACAGGGACAATGAGGACTGTCGATAGAACGAAACTGAATATCGTCACACATAATTTAAGAATTCCAGTTTCGCAATGTAAAAAGCTTAAAAATTCACTTTTTTGCTTTTTATTAAGGAAAAAATTAGCAAGCCCAACGAAAATATTTTCCCTCCAAATTTTCTTTACTTCTTATTTTCTTACAAAACCAAACTAAACCAAACCAAACCAAACTAAACAATGAAATTTTTTTGTTTGCATTTTATTTTATTTTCCCAATTTTTGATTCACCTAATTTTGTACCAAATCAAACACGAATAGAGTGACGGGTGCACACGTAACCCACCTACTTTATTTTTTGTTTGTGGTTGATCTTTAATTTGTACTCAATTTTCTTCTGACCGACCTATCAATATAGTAAACACTAAATAAAACAGTGGCTCGATACTGACAAAGCTTGATTGTCTTTGGATACAGAATCTTTGTGCTGACGAGCTTTGTTTTGCTTTGTTTTGTTTTGTCTTTTTGAATCTAGAGGAAATTTGATTAGAACGTTAAGTTTGTGGTACAGAGTAAGGGTCACGTTCTTTGAAATCACAAGTTTTGCGTATCATTCTGAAATAGATATGATCAATAAATAGGCCGTATTAGACAAATAATCTGATAAATAAAATAAATAATCAAAATAAAATCTGTATAATAAAATATAAGATATAAAAAATAATTTTTATTTTTCATGGTTGAAATCGTTTTAAACTTTATTTTAAAATTAATCCAACGGTTAATATTAACTCTAAAATTTAATAAAGAAAATAGATCCTCTAAATGTGTGTTTGCGGTGATTTTTCAAAAGTGCTTCTAATATTTATGTATTCTCATAAAATTTTTTTAAAAAAGTATTGTTTGGAATAACTTATTTTAACTAGTAAGTGTCCACTTGCATTTTATGTGAACTATTTGTGTATTAAATATTTAATATTAAAGACGGGACCGACTTCCTCAATTGAACATAATGTTCCAAGAAAACCACTCCATGACATCATTCTTCAAAAAAATAAAGTTATGCAGTGTAATGAAGCTCCATAGACTATTTAGCTGTCCTAGAAAATGGAATTGGATCATCAAATATTACAAACTTTTAATGACTGTATGTATTGTGACATTAATTATTCAGTCATTGGCCTATAATCAAAAGAGTGTACTGTGACCATTTGGTTACTCAATGAGGCAGTCTTCCCTCATCTGTGATGCAAACATACAACTAGAAAATGAGCGTATATGCCCACAAAACCATAGCGAAAAAGGATATAGTTTAGTGGCTAGACTCTCGATTCCTTTCATATCCTCAATCTACAACAAATTAACTCCTAAAAATAAGAATAAGCGAAACTCTAAAATGCTGTTCAAAAAATACTAAAAAAAAAACACTTAAATACAAAGAATATATGGTGTGATGGATGGTTTAGTGAAAACTTGATGTTTCATCTCCTAGTTGATAGCATAATACAAAAGCGTAGATGAAAGGGTTTCAGAGAAGAGTTTAAGTGGGTTGGCCAACTATATATATGTAAATGAAAGTCTGGTTTACTTCTTTCTCATTTAGTCTAAATACTTAAAAGATTAATTGGAAAATGTTGCGATGAGGCATGGATTGAAATGAGAAGTGGACACCTTGCTCAATTAATTATACTAAAATCAATGTGGAATAAGAAAGATGAGGATGAGCCAATGAGATGATGAATGCAAACAATTTTTTGTCCTCCAGTAAAATGCAACCATATAAGCACTCAAAATATCATTAGTAATTAGAAGAGTATACTATTGAGAATGAAAATTAATGGAACCTCTATGTATTCTTTTACGCCCCACTTATTTTCAATAGATAATATCATTTGTTATGGTTTATGGTGGAACCTAGAAATACCATGTTCGCTATGATTCTAGGCTTAGATGTGTTTGCAAGGAACGACACAAATGAAATACTAAATGTTAATAAACTTTCTTTAAATTTAAATCTCTTGCTCATAATGTTGGTGAAAGTTTAATTTGATCTCTTTTAGGTTTTAGTTAAAGGTCGTAAGTGACCAAGAAAGTCAAAATCTTAGTGATCCATACTATATCGTTAAGCATACATATCTATATCACTAGCAATTTGACTGTTTTCAAAAACAAATTTACCTTTTGGTTTTAAGATAACAATATTATGATGACTTTTGAATTAAGTTGGTTTGTTAATAGTAGTTTAATCCCAAACGAAATCTCCTTGAAAGGTTTACTTCTAAGTCTACCAAGTAAAAATACTTCATAAGCCAAACTTAAGTGTAGAAAAAGGGAAAGTGTGAGAATAGAAAGAGCTAGAATTCTCTTTTAAAAATGATTATTGCTTAAACGTATGTTTACAAGTTTTTGTTAAATTACAATTGCCTCCCTTAATTACCAAGACAATGACTCTATAACCCCATAATGTTTTAGGAAAACGAATACGGTAAACTCCAAAAAAGGTTAAATTCTATAATTGAGGGTGTAGAAATTATGTTGCCGTTTGAATTTCAATATAATGAATGTTGGTACAATAAGAATTTTCACATTGCTAGAATGTAGATAATGTGGATAATGTCATAATGTGGATAATATTTTAACAACAAAATATTAAAAGCTCATACTGTTTTGGTTGCTTTAGATAATGTCAATATATATCAAGAAAGACAAATGAAATTGCATCAAAATCAATAGAATCTAAAGAAATAGAGTCAAATCAAAAGGAGTTCTTAGTTGATTACTCACAAGTTTAGTGTTAAAATCAAGTAAAAAAG